GTTCCCGGTGGCAGATATGGAATATGCAGATGACACGCTACTCCTTGCTCTGACCACACCGCAACTCCAAAGCATTCTAAGCGCCCTGGAGGAGCTGGCAGCGGAATATGGTATGTCCCTAAATAAAATGAAAACGGAGCTCCTGGTACGCCCCAACTACTCCGAGCCTGCGCTGCGATTTAAGGATGGGTCAAGCGTCCCCGCAAAAACTGTAGTCAAGTACTTGGGTAGCATGATTTCCTGGACCAAGCCTTTCGAGACAGCTTTTTATCACCGGGCAGCTCTAGCTGAAGAGGCATTCAAAAAACTAAGACTTATATGGAATAGCACACTCTGCCTCAAAGAGCGTCTCAAAATCTTCCAGGCCACCTTTCTTCCCGTTCTAACTTACGGTCTAGACGCACTTACCCTAACCACACCGCACCTCAAAAGAATAGATGCATTTTACATTCGTTTCCTTAGAAGAGTAGTGCGAATTAAGGCCTCATATTACTCCAGAATCCCCAACGTAGAGGTCTATGAACAGGCACACAGACCACGCCTTCCATCCCACCTGCTCTCGGACATGCAATATAAAATGATGAGGGAGGTATTCTTGGCCCCTAGAAAGGAGGTATATCACTCTGTAGTCTTCGGTTCGGCTCACAAGGATCGGATTCTCAGCCAGGGACGTCGGCGGGGTATGCAATTTCCCTACTGGGTTGAAGTGGTCTCTCGCCAGTACTTTCCTCACATTTGTAACTCCCCCGACCACCCCGCCCTAGGACCTCATTTTCAGTACGCCCAAATACACAAGGAGCTGAGAAACCCCCAACTCGGGAAGACGCCAAAGCGCGCGGACTGGCGCGCAGGGCCATAGCAAAAAAAAAACCCTAAAACCCTAAAACCCTAAAACCCTAAAACCCTAAAACCCTAAAACCCTAAAACGCTAAAACCCTAAAACCCCAAAACCCTAAAACCCTAAAAGCCCTAAACACTAAAGGCAGCTCCAGGGGCTCGCCAGCCGCCCGGAGCTCAACGAGCAGCGGGGCGAGGCGTGTTGGGGGCCACCTTGCCCTCGCTTCGGCTCTGTGTTTTTTTGGCCTGGGGTTTAGGGGTTTAGGTGTTTAGGGTTTAGGGTTTAGGGTTTGGGGTTTAGGGTTTGGGGTTTGGGGTTTGGGGTTTAGGGGTTTAGGAGTTTAACGTTTAGGGGTTTAGGGGTTTAGGGTTTAAAAAGGGTTTAGGGTAGTCTTGCGTCGGTAGGGTTTATGGGTTTAGTGTTCGAAGACACCTGGATGCAAAAAGGGTTTAGGGGTTTAGGGTTTTCTTGGCTTTAGGGAGGGTTTTCTGAGGTCTAGGGTTTCGGTCTATCAGGTTTGCACTTCTTCTTTCCGGCACCGGCCTCAGTCCATGCATCAGAATGCGTAAGAGCCTGGTTTTTGGGAGTGTAGGCTTTGAGGCTGTGTTTGGAGTTTTGATGCTTGGTGAGCACATCAATGTTGTCATGCCCGTCCTACCTCGGGTCTGCGGGCTAGACATGCTTGGGCTAAGGATTCAGGCGCTGTCACGCTTCCAGCCCTTGAGCCCTCCAGCCCCTGAACCCTCCCTGGGCATGCGAGGCTCCATGTGCGAAAGTCGAAGCCCGGACCCCGCAACCTTTAAGTCCGAAGCTGCCAGCAGAATCTGCCAGGTGATGGACTGGCACGCTGAGTCAGGCTGTTTTGACCATTTAAAAAAATCCAGTTGGCTGACGGGTTCATAGCAGGAGGGTCCATTTCTAGCCCCTCAAAGGTCTGTATAACAGACCTGTCTAACCCATCGGGACTTGTGTTGTCGGGGCTAGGGCACGTAACTTGCATGGTTTCGGATCTGAGTCGCCTGCCCCAAGCCGCAAGCCTCCAGTCTAGCAAAGGAGATGCTGCAAAGAAGCCAGTAGAGGCCTAACCGCTACTGTCGTCAGAGTCGTTTACCTCCTGAAGCCTGGACTCTCAACGAGCTTCGAACTCGCTGCAGGGCGCTTCATCGTGTCCGTCGCCTCGGAGAAGGTGAAGGTGGATGTTTGGGGCTTTTGGGTCTTGGAGGCTTTTTGGGTTTGGGGGTTCAAGGGTATCGGGGCTCACCCTAAACCCTAAACCCTAAACCCTAAACCCTAAACCCTAAACTCTAAACCCTAAACACCCCCGAAGTTTCTCTGAACAGCCCAAGAGGTCCAAAATTTTTAAGCCCTGGCGTGACCAGGTCAAGCCCGCCAATCTCCAGGCCAAGGCGCTGCAGTGCTCTGGGCCATCGGAAAACTTCACACCTTCTCCATGTGGGCGAGTTCAGGGTTTGGGGTTTCGGGGGTTAGGGTTTAGGGTGGGGTTTGGGTTTGAGAGTTGAGGATTCTGGCGTTCTAGAGTTTCAGGCTATTGTTTCTGAGGGGTGTTTGGGTTGATTGGGCAATCTTGAGGCTTGAGGTTTGGGCCCCACCGGTGGAAGAGCGTCTGAACTCTTAAACCACCAATTCGAATGTCGGAGGACGCCGGCAGCGACTGCTGGCCTCGTTCCGAGGCCTCAGGGTTGAGGGTTTAGGTGTGGGAGGTGCACGGCTTGTTGTCTGATGTTTGCATGCTGGTCGGGGCCTTTCGCACCTAAGCCCTGCAAAAAACTTAGCCCGTGCAGTGTTGATGCACGAATTCCGCGACTAGACTGACATCTGCCTCGGGCCGTCTTTTGGGATGAGTACTGGCGGAAGGGGGACGGAGGACTTCCCCCGCCACATCCTTCCGCTAGCCTAGCCCCTTCATAGGCAAGTGTCATCGTTCCCTGAACCCTACAGGGTTTAGGGTTTAGGGTTTAGGGTTATAAACCTTAACCCTGAACAGCTCCCTGAGTTGAATCCCTGTTGCTAGCGGGGGTGGGACCTGCGCGGCACCCTTGGTACATCCAGGCACACCTTGGCCCACTGCCTGCCTCGGTGGCACCTCGGCTTTGACCTTCCTGTTTTTGTTTTTATGTTTTTTTTTTTTGGGGGGGGGCGCGGGTGGGGGGGGGAGGGGTGGGGGGGGGGGAGGTGGGCGGGGGTGGGGGGTGGGGGGTTGGTTTTGGGATGTTTTGGGTTTGGGGTTTGCGGTTTAGGGACTTGGGGTTTTGGGTTTAGGGTTTAGGATGGTTCAGGGTGTAAATGGAGTCGCCCTGCTGAGAGCTTGGGGGCCTTTTCTTCTGGAGTGGCCTTTGCAGTCCCTCCGTACTTGCACCTCGGACTCCTCAATCTGGGGAGACCCTAAACCCTAAACCCTAAACCCTAAACCCTAAACCCTAAACCCTAAACCCTAAACCCTAACCCCTAAACCCTAAACCCTAAACCCTAGACCGCTCCTCGGAGCTGCACTGGGTGCCAGGCGTTGCGGGTGGGCCTCGCGCTGCCGGCGAGGCCTCAGATGGTTGAGGGCTGAGAGCTTCGGGGTTTAGGGTCTAGGGTTTAGGGTTTAGGGTTTAGGGAACCGGTGTGATAGTGGTGTGATAGAAGCATGCGTAGAGTGAGCTTTGCTGCCCCAGAGCAGCCCTCCGAGTAGTTCCTCAACGATTCTGCGACGATCAAACGCCCCTCCACCACAAACCCTCAACCCTAAACCCTAAACCCTAAACCCTAAACCCTAAACCCTAAACCCCAAACCCCAAACCCCAAACCCCAAACCCTAAACCCCAAACCCCAAACCCCAAACCCCAAACCGCAAACCCCAAACCCTAAACCCTAAACCCTTCTAAGCCCTCGGCCCTCAACCGCAGCCCCACGGACAGGAGCTGCGCCGCTCTCAGCGCCGCGTCGCGCGCCTTGCGCCTGGCGCTCTGGCGCAGCTCTGAGGCCTCGCCAAGGGGTCCAGTTTAGGCTTAAAAACCCTGAACCCTAAACCCTAGACCCTAAACCCTAAACCCTAAACTAAACCCTAGACTTAAGGGGTGTAGATTCTCAGAGTGGGCCAAAGCCCTAAACTCTACACGATAAAAACCTGAAACCCTAACCCCAAACTAACTCAAAATCCCTAAACCCTTGTTGCATCTGGACTGGGAGCAGATGCCGGAATGAGCGCGGCGCACGGCCAACAACAGTACTAAGCCTGACACGCCAGTACTGCGCTGGAATGATTTCAGTTATCGCAATGGTTACAACCACCAAACCACCCGCAACTGAGGGTTCTCACATACTTCCCACTCCACTCTACCACGAAACTACTCTTTTTCCTGAACCCGGACTCTTGATGAAACTATTCAGATTCGGGGCTGAGGGTACTCCGCTTGCTCTTGTGGCTTGCGCACGGCTGCTCGGAGAGCATTTTGCTTTGCATCCACTTAGCGAGGTCCGATCGTCAGTCGTAGGACAAGAGGGGAACATCGCTGCAGTGTACACCACAGTCAGAGACTGCAGCACGTCAGCTGGGCTGGCGCGAACTCAATCACACGGGAATCAAGCAGCAAGCAAAATTGCCAATCCTGCGACCCCTTAGTTTGGAAGGGGGATTGGCCCTAAGGGGAGAGTCCCTAAAATGGGCACTGCTTCTGCAGATGCCAAAATGCACGGGAACATCGGCACAGCGTTCAGTCACGCTGCGGTTTCAGCAGGCTTGTCATGCTCAGAGAGCGTCGGTGCAAACAATTATAGGCAGATTCTACTATTTGCGGGTCTACATTAGGTTAAGACTCGTACCCCTAAGGTTGTGCCCCTGAAAATAGCCCTTATACTACCCTAAGGATCTTTAAACAAGGTCTCCGAAACTAAAGGTACAACTTACAACCTTAAAGCCTATAAACCCTAGACCCTAAACCCAAACCTCTAGAGGCTTAGGGTTTGGGGCCGTTTCCTGCTGCACAAACTGGACATGGCTCCAGGCCCAAGCCGTTGTTTTCTTTTCTCTGGTCAGCATGATCGTCTTGTCAGCAAGAGATCCACATCTGCATACATATATATATATAGATGTAGTAAAGCGTCGCTTCTCTCCCCCCCCGCGGTCGCAGTTAAGGGCCTATAGTGAAAGCTTTTCGCCATGGACGCACCCTGGCATATGATGGGGGGCAACGTCGTCGTGAAAAACACGTTTTTGCACGCCACCACGTCGGCTGGAGCCAGGAGAAGGGCTTCCTCCTATCCACGAGACAACTGTGTGATCCCTGCGATGCCTTGTTCTGAGAGCTCTGGGACAGGGCCAGCCTTTTCAGCTGAGATGTGCGGGCAGACTTCGATGGTGTTGCGCAACATTCCCAAGAGTTTCACTCGAAGCATGTTGTGCGATCTCCTGGAAGAACATCGGTGCCTTGAGGAGGTGGATTTCTTGTACCTCCCCATTCGGCACAGGGATGGCCGTTGCTTGGGGTACGCCTTCATCAACTTCACTACGTCAGCAGCTGCCCTCTCGTTCCGCGGGCACTTCCACCACATGGAGCTGCCTTGCTCGCTGGGGTCTTGCCCGGAGGGGACTTCGCTCCGAGCGGGCGCTGGGCCAGCTGTGGTTCTAGTTGTGCATGCAAACACACAGATGCAGAATTTGGAGGAACTCCTTGCAAAGTATACCGACAGCCCCATCTTGCATCCTCGTGTGCCGGAGTGGTTGAAGCCGATCCTTCTGGAGAATGGAAGGCAGGTTCCTTTCCCATTGCCAACCAGGCCGGTGGAGCCCCCTGAGTTGGCGCGGTGGGTGCAACGACGCCGACCGGGTATGTTGGGGACAGGGCTTAGGGTTTAGGTCTTAGGACCAAGAATCGGAACATTTCTTGTGGTCCACATGCCTTGTAAGGGTTGCAATCTGATCCCAACTTCTAGGTTCATTTGGGGGTTTCCAAAAAATGGGGGGGGGGGGGTGTACCCTTGTTGGGGTTCCTAGAATGCATATTATAGTATTTTGGGGTATCTTAGTGGTACACCCCTATGTTGGGAAATGCCGACTTGGTCCCCAAAGTACCTGGCTGTGCGATTCAATCCAAATGTCATTTTGCCTCCAGTGTGAACAAAAGCCCTACACACTTGCAAATCTACCCTAAGCCCTAAACCCTAAACCCTGAATCCTAGACCCTAGATCCTAGACCCTAAACCCTAAACCCTGGCTCACCTAGGCGGGTGGCTCCGTAAACCCTAAACCCTAAACCCTAAACCCTAAACCCTAAACCCTAAACCCTAAACCCTAAACCCTAAACCCTAAACCCTAAACCCTAAACCCCAAACCCCAAACCCCAAACCCCAAACCTTAAATCCTAACCCCTTAGCCCTAAAGCCTAAAGCCTAAACCCTAAACGCAAGTCAGCGATGCTGGTTGAAGACGTGGAGGCTGTTGACTACAGTTCCCGAATCCTTTCTCCCCTCCAGTTGGCCAATCGTCTTGGCATTTTCAGATGGGATGCTGCTTCTATGGTTTCAGGGTATAGGGTTTGGGTCTAATTTAGGGTTTAGGGTTTAGGGTCTAGGGACTGTATCCCAGATTGCTGGTTAAGGAGACTTCGCTCTGTGCGCCAGTGTGCAGAAAGAAGGGGGGCTGGGGCCTGGCAAAGTCTGCGGCGCACATGGAACGTCAGACCTCCGATGTCTTGCGGAATAGCAGAAACACTGCTCATGGAGGGACTCGAAGGCTTTGTCCCTAAACCCTAAACCCTAAACCCTAAACCCTAAACCCTAAACCCTAAACCCTAAACCCTAAACCCTAAACCCTAAACCCTAAACCCTAAACCCTAAACGACCTAATGCCGTAGCACTTCAGACTCAAGGCCCACCCCCTCGTTCCAGCTCAATTTGGAATGCGAGTGCGGCAGGTTGAGTCTTTGATTTTTTCCTCTTAGGGTTGAGGGTTTAGGGGCTTAGGGTTTGGGGTTTCGGGTTTAGGGTTTAGGGTTTCGGGTTGAGGGCTTCACAAAACCACCCCAATTGCCCCAAAGTCCAAGCTCCCGGGGCTTGCGCGATGGGAACATCTTGCGCACTTGCGCCCCCCTGGCTTGCCACCCAAAAAACAACATGTCACCGTGAACGATCAAAGACTCTCGCATTGCCTTGCGCTAGGCAGCCCGTTTGGGGGTTTACGATATGAGGGGCTGCCTTAGTGGGGTCCCTTAGTAAAAGGGAATCCTACTATTTGGGGCCCTCGTTTAGGGGTCCCCCAATTTTCGTACACCCCCATCTGTATTTGCACCGCCCTGAGTCCTGGGCACGAGGACGGAAGCGGCCTGTGCTCTTCTCACAGCATCCCGCTTGTCCGCGGGAACCCTCCCGCAAAATCCGATAAACCCACAACCCTAAACCCTAAACGCTAAACCCTAAACCCTAAAACCTAAACCCTAAACCCTAAACCCTAAACCCTAGTATGGGACCGAAATGAGCGTGGAGCAAGCTCGCAGCCCTTGGCTTCCCGATCGGGTCGCCGTGATCTTGTCCTCTATTTTCGTATTGTTGTAAGCCCTAAACCCTAAACCCTAAACCCTAAGCCCTAAACCCTAAACCCTAAACCCTAAACCCTTGTGAAGCTCACACTGTACAGTCCCCGCTAAATAGCGCCGAGTTCGTATCTCCCCAAGTTTCCTTAGTGCTCTAACAGTCTTTAATTCTGCAAACACCGCAGGCGCCTTGGGCACAAACCCAGAAAAGAGCTGCGCAGTAGACCGCAGTAGTCAGTCCTCCAAAGCACTAAACGCGAAACCCTTAACCACTAGCATTATTGCCAGGACCCAGAGTAGACCCTTATTCCCCTTTTTTTACGTTTAGGTCCCCTCAGAAGCCCCTTGGAGCCAAAAAGGGCACCCTTTTTGTTTCTAGGTTGATCCTGGGTCTAGATTGTTTATTGCAATTACTAAGGAGTAGTATGGCTATTGTTTCCGTTCCTTCTTTTCATCTTCAGCTCGTATTGTCCTTGTGATGGTTAGTGTTATCGGCAGTGCGCCGCAGTCTGTCTCTTGACACTTTCATGTCCAGCGGGTAAGCAGCACTATTGCAATGACATCTACTCTTCAGTTTCCATGATGGAGTGCAGGGTTTAGGGTTTCGTGTAAACCCTAAACCCTAAAGCCTAAGCCATAAAGCCTAGACTCCAACACCTGCATGGGGGCCAATCAGGCTGGCTCCAAGCAAAGTTCCTTTTCCAGTTCCCGGTCCCATACCCTAAGGATCCATGTGCCTATATGGTGTTGGGCACATGGATCCTTAGGGATACCTGCACCCGTTCCAGCTTTGCAGGGCAGAGACGAAGTCTTGGTAGACCAGTGGTGCCCTTTACCCTTTTTTTGGTTCAAGGTTCCCTTGTAAAGTAACCAACCCGAAGAAGGGTGCCCTCATAATAATATGGTTACTGGGCTACCAAGAAGTGTTCCGACCTCGAGTGGTTTTGCGCTCGTGCTGTAGTGATGCGGATGTTTCTCTGAAGCATAGATTTTGCTTTGCATCTCGACGTGAAAATGAGGATCTCGCAGGCATGTCCGGGTCGAGAGCAATGCTCCAGTTCCTGTGCCCCGACATCCCTGAACCCTAAACCCTAAACCCTAAACCCTAAATCCCCTGAACCTGGGTCTTCGCAGTTCGATCGAAGACCTTGGCCCTGTAGTTTGCATGACTCCCACGACCCCCACATGAGACGCCCCTTTCTTGGGTAGTATGTTCTGTTCCTTTGCTGTTCCCGAAGCTGATTGCGAGGTCTCTAGGCAAGTAAGTAGGGACAGGGCCGAACATCGTGGTCGATGTTTTGGGGGCGCGGATGTAGATCTCAAGTTTTGAGAAAGTTATTGCCAAAGGGGTTTTAGATTCCATTTTCGGTTTTGTTGGGCTTGGTTTGAAAGTGCCACACACTGCCTATACCTTCGAGAGAGAGAGAGAGAGAGAGAGAGAGAGAGAGACAGAAAGACAGCGATAGAGAGAGAGAGAGAGAGAGAGAGAGAGAGAGAGAGAGAGCGAGAAGCAAAGAGAGGCGGAGGGCGAGACAGAGAGGCAGAGGAAAGCGTGCCACCCCTACCGCTCCCCCAGAGAAGAAGAAGAAGCAGAAGAAGAAGAAGAAGAAGAAGAAGAAGAAGAAGAAGAAGAAGAAGAAGAAGAAGAAGAAGAAGAAGAAGAAGAAGAAGAAGAAGAAGAAGAAGAAGAAGAAGAAGAAGAAGAAGAAGAAGAAGAAGAAGAAGAAGAAGAAGAAGAAGAAGAAGAAGAAGAAGAAGAAGAAGAAGAAGAAGAAGAAGAAGAAGAAGAAGAAGAAGAAGAAGAAGAAGAAGAAGAAGAAGAAGAAGAAGAAGAAGAAGAAGAAGAAGAAGAAGAAACCGAAGCAGCAGCCAAAACCCGACAAGCCTACAAAGCCCCATAACACTTTTCGTAAAAAACACTTTGCAAACTCTGTAAAGCCTTATAAAAACTCTGCAAAACCGTATAGCAACTCTGTAAAACCGTACAACACCTTGTAAAAACCCTCAGCACTCTGTAAAGCCGTACAAAAACCTTGAAAAAGAACAATCCTTCAACAGGGCCACCCCCTCGGAGTTTAGGGTTTCGAGTTTAGGGGACCACCCCCTTACTTTCGTAAACCACCATTTCCTGTTACATGCCTCGGCCTCAGTACGGGTTCAAAAGGGGTACAGGCGACGGGAGTTGGCACTCGAAGGCCAACAGCAACCCCAAGCGTGTCTCGCGAACCTTTCAGAAATTGCACAACAACTTCTCAAGCCCGCCTAGAGAAAGCCAAATTTTTCGTAAACCCTAAGCCCTGTGGCTAGTCGGGTTGGGAAAAACCCTAAACCCTCTAGGCGGAGGGGCTTTGGCTGGCTCTGGCTCGGCGTGGCCTCGGTGAGGCAGCCGTACCTCGGCGGTGAGCTGTCACCTTGCTTAGTCGTAGAGTAGGTAAGTTTAGGGTTTAGGGTTTAGGGTTTAGGGTTTAGGGTTTAGGGGAGCCTGGGTTCAAAAGGGTGGCAGTATACTGGAGAGCCACCCACCCAAAACCCTCAAGCCAAACCCTAAACCCCAAACCCTGACCCTAGCCCCAATCGCGAAAAGGTCGACACGGTGCGCCGGGCGCGCCTCGATGCCGCAGGACCTGTGGTCTACCGCAGCTCGGCAAGGGAGTCAGGGTCTAGGGTTTAGGGTTTAGGGTTTAGTGCTCAAAGTTCGGATGATTCGCTGAGAACCCCAGCAAAACCACTTGGTTGCGCATTGACTTACCTCAAGGATGAACGCTTGGCTGAGAAACGGGAGTTCAGGGAGAAGAGAAGGGAGCGTAGGGAGACCCCTTCTACCAGTACTAAGTCACACCTGTGATTGCATCCCCTGCTTGTATAGAATCGCGGGAAGGCTCTGCTATCAGGTTGCCGGCCCGTGCTCAAAAAAGGGTTTAGTTAGGGTTTAGGGCCCCTAAACCCTAAACCCTAAACCCTAAACCCTAAGCCCTAAGCCCTAAACCCTAAACCCTAAACCCTAAACCCTAAAACCCTAAACCCTAAACCCTGAACCCCCACCTCAGACTTCCCAAGCCCTCAGCTAGGCATCGCACGGGGGCTGAAGCGACTCTTCGATAAAAGCTTCGAGCTGGTGGAAGGAGGCGGGGCATCCGAATTGATTGTCTTGAAGTGGTTTAGGGTTTAGGGTTTAGGGCTTAGGGATTAGGGTTTAGGGTTTACGGTTTCGGGGGTTTGGATTCAGGTGGTTCTGGCAGCGTCAGGGAGCGGCGGATGCAACGAACCCTCCACAGTAGCCTTGTGCTTCAGGCGTCGACCGGAACGGCAAAGGGTTCTCTGTGGCCTGTCTGCAGACAGGGTGTTTTTCCTGAGGGACTCTTCTGGCTTGTTATGAGACACCCAAGCCAAGCTGCCAGCAGCCTTGTGCAGTGCTGTAGCAGGACGTTCCCAAAAATAAACACGCGAGACTCTCGAAGCCCGCCCCCATTACAGCCAGCATTACGGGCCGAGGTCGTGGCCTGCCCCGTCGCCCGAAATCTGGTGCCGCTGGGCTGCAAAATCTGGGGGATGTAAGGAGGGACCCCTAGAAGGGATCCTGAATCTGATCCCCCTTTTTTCGCCCCCAAAATATACATTATCTAGTCCAAGGGTCCCTCCTTTTGCCCTTGAAGAATGCAGGGCCAAGATTTAAGGTGCCCCCAAAGCTCCTTCGCGAAGCAGGTGTCGGGTTTCGGGGTTTCGGGCTTGGGGTTTAGGTGGTTCAGGGTTGAGAGTTGAGGGTTTAGGGCCCTATACCCTAAACCCTATACCCTAAACCCTAAACCCTAAACCCTACCGAAATCCTAACCCTGGCACCCACGACCCTAAGCCCTACAGCCTGGATCCCAAGCTTTCTGGCCCAAGCTTCTGAGCGCCCCCCCCCCCTTGTTTGGCTCCTTCGGCGGTGTCCTCGGCCCGGAACTCAATGATGACGGGGGGGGGGGGTTCAAAAGGCTTGCAGGGTTGAGGGTGTGGAGCTATGGGGCTCAAATTTTAAAGCTCCAGACATGTCAGAGAGGTCCCTGGTGCAAGAAGGGGGTGTAAGGATGCCTGTGTAAACAAGGGTCTAGGGTTTGCTTTCCCAGATGTCTAGGTTTCAGCTATCGCAGTCAATTCTGCCTGCCCACTTGGGCTGATCTGCATCGCGCCCCTGTTCAAGAAGAACAGGTCGACAGAGCATGCGGAGAGGGGGAGGAGGTAGGGGTCTGAGGAGTTATGGAGGCACAAGAGCACTACACCCCCCGATTTCTGAGGTGAACCATGGCGCATCGCATCCAAAAGATTGAGCAGCATGTGCTGGCCGGCGCGCCTCGGCAAGAGACCTATGAGCCGAGACTAGAAGAAGTCTTGGATCTCGGTTCCGAAGCCTATAAGGCTGATGTCTTTGTGACTCCAGACATTGACTCGTGGGCCTTGCTGCCTTGTGTGCGAGAGCTCGAAGCTCTAAAGCTCCAAACCCTCCTAAAAGCGAAGGAGGGGATGCGGCACCCTCTCTCTCCCTAGAGAATCCCTTAAAGGGTAATATATACAGATGTATCCAAAGGAGGGGATTAGGCACCTTATATCACCCTATATCATTTCTAGAAGGGTATATCCTGCATATCACTTACAGGGCATATCCTATATAATCCCTTAAAGTGTATATAAACAAATAAGTATCGTCGGAAACCTTGGACCCAGACACAAACTAGGTATCAATTTTTACTTGGTTTAATATGGAGCCCTAGTTATAAATGTTGAAAACGACACCCAACCCGTGCAGTTCTCGGAGGATGTGGCCGTCTCCGGTGGCCTCGAGATGCGGGGCGTCGCCAGCGCGGAGGACGCGGACTTCGATGCCCGCGTGGCGGCCATGAAGACCTGGATCCTCGGCGCTGCTGAGGGCTCTTAGGGCTTGGGACAACAATGCCCTAAACCCTGAACCCTAAACCCGAAACACCAAACCCTCTGGACCATGGGGGCTGTGAGCTTGTCACATCGTGTCCTCAGCATTTTCCGGGTTCATGGGGTCACTCTGCTGGTCTGGACACTGGGTCTGCGCACCCATCCCTCGTGGCATGACGTGCGCCAGCTCCCGGATGTGCGCCATGTTGCAAAGATCTTTGCCTACTCATACTGGGGCCAGTTGTTTGACGGCCTTGCGTGCACTATGCAGTGGAAGTGGGTGGGCCACACCCTGCGGTCCTCTGCAGCCGCCTTGGTCAAGCCGTTCTTTGCCGACGGGTGCCACTCTGATGTCAATGCCTATGGCCTGCGCCGGGCCAGAACTGGACCTGACAACACCGGCATGCGCCCAGTCGCCAAGTTCCTTCAGAGCCGGGGATTGGACTTGGAAGTTGTGCGGGACTGTGCGCAGTGGGCCTCGCTGCTCCCCCAGTACCGAGCGTACTGGGGAGTGAATGCTCGTGAGCCCGGTGGCAATGTGCAGTTGTGTTCGCCGGAGCTTATGTCGTGGGAGGTGCGCTGCCTGCAGGGCACGGTGCATGGAAGCATTACTGTGCTTGTGCGCTACAGCGAGACTTGCGGCATGATGCAACTCGCCCAGTTGCGCCGAGTTGAGGGATGGGTTCTGCACCAAGCTGGCATGCGAAGTGTGGTTGCCGATGCGGGCTCTTTTCTGGGCGAGGCGTGGAACCTCGTTGTTGGAGAGCTTCTCCCTGCAGTCATGACTGATTGCACGAGACATGTCCGCCTGCACTGGGATGGTTTGAGTAATAGTGCCCTTCGTTTGTTGCCCAACACGTGTCAGGCCCTCTGGATGAAACGGGTAGTGATAAAAGTTTCAGAGATCGGCCTGAGGTTGCCCTCTGATGCAGGGGTGGGGGTTGCTTGGCTGGTTGCACTAGCGTGAAGCCTGCTGCCGCAGAGAGTGCTTGCAGAAACCCTAAACCGCAAACCCCAAACCCCAAGTGCCGAGCCCCCCTGTTATCCTTGATAGGGTTTAGGACTTCGATGCAGGGTTTTTAAGGCTCAGGGGGTCCGAAGGCCGGAAGGGCCAGTGCTGACCCTAGGGTCTAGAGACCCCCTCCAAGGATGGGTGCGGAGCGGTTCAAGTACACCACGCGGCCCTACAAGGCCACCAGGGTTTAGGGTTGACTCGAGCCCGCTGACGTAAAGAGTCTGGGTTCAAAAAACGGGTTGAAAAAAGTGGCAAGCCTGTTGCAAAAAGGGTTGAAGAAAGGGTTTATGGTATATATACACATACACATGCACATACATACATATATACATGTACATACAATGTCTTTACAGAGGTTATACATGGGTTCATATGAGGAATCATTGGGGCTTCTGTATTGCAAGAGCTGCCGTTGAACCCAGGGCCCACATAGCCGCGCGCGCGACCCATTACCTCTTAATTGAACGAATCTTCTTTCAAGACCAGAATCCTAAGCCCTAAGCCCTAAGCCCTAAGCCCTAAGCCCTAAACCCTAAACCCTAAACCCTAAAGCCTAAAGCCTGGCTGCAGCTCGGGGTTGTCGAGTCTGCAGAGGGATTCAGGGTTTGGGGATTCAGGGGCACGGCTTTGTCACAGTTGCGCAGGTCGAGGACGTGGTGAAGCTCCAGGGCACCATGCCCATGTACTTCAACGGCGCCAAGGTCTCCGACAAGCTCTACAAGATGCTCCGGGACCACCAGGCTGGGGCCTTGGGGTTTTGACGGTTTCCTGGAGGGGGGAGTGTTTGAGTAGCCCTCAGGGTTTAGGGTTTTTGGGTTTAGGGTTTAAGTCAGATCAAGCCATGTCAATGGAGAGTGCAGGCCAAGGGAACCTGCTCCCACACCTTCGGGGCCCTGGACACCGTGCAGGCCAACGGGAGGGACACATTGAGGGAGGTTTGGGGTTTAGGGTTTAGGGTTTAGGGTTTAGGGAGATCTGGGGCCCAAAGTGCCTGCCCACAAGCACGTCAGGTTTGACACTTTTGGTGAGAAAACCCCCTGACCTGACGGTTCAAATTGGCATGCACAGTCATTGCGAAGATTGCCCCGAACTGCAACTCCAGATCCTACAAACAGTGTGGCGCCCTAAACACTGAACCCCTAAACCCGAAAACCCTGAACCCTGAAACGCTAAACCATAAAGCTTAAGGGTCGAGGTCGTCCAACCCTTCCAGGTCACGCAGATGGCCAAGTACCTGACCTCGGTGTACGTCAGCGGTTGGCAGTGCTGCCGCCTTGTTTTTGGCTTGTTTGGGAGTTTAGGGTTTAGGGTTAGGGTTATGGGGGTTTAGGGTTGTGGATAGCACCTTGCTGTCGCCGGCAACCTGGTTTCGTGAGTCGTCTTCTAAAACGCCATCTAGCTGTACCAGTCTCGTAGCCGCCGCCCCCCCCCCCCCCCCCCCCCCAAAAAAACCCAGATGATCTCGTCCCGTATGTACTGTACACAAGGGCAGTAGTCGAGTCCCTTGTGAAAAAAATGTCCCGTGCGCACTCAATGCCCCTAAGCCGCAACCTTCAGACCCCAAAGGTCGCAACCTGGTGTGGTGTTGGGGTTTAGGGGTTTAGGGGTTAGGGGTTCAAGAAAGGGTTTAGGGTTTACCTCTAAGGTAATTCTGGGAATGGCAGGTGCTCCTCCACCGCCTCCACTTCCAACGAGCCTGGCCCGGATGTGGCGGACTACCCCTATGACACCGTTCCCAACAAGGCAGGGTTTAGGGTTTACGCTTTTGGGGTTTAGGGTTTAGGGTCCAGGGTTTCGGGGGCCTATGATGGCTGATGGAATGCTGCCATGGCAGCACTGGGCCGCAATGCTTTCATCACCCAGAACCCTGAACCTTACACCCCGCAAAACCCGGAGGCCTTAACGTTCACCATGAGCTTAAACCCTTTACTTGGGATGTTCCCCTTGTACTAACCGTCCTTACTAGGGATTATAGTACCCCCCCTATTAGAATCCATATTAAGGACTGTTAGTCTAAAAGGGGGAGCATCCCAACCTGAACCCGAAACCCTGAGCCCTGGAAGGTGGATCAGCTCTTCCGCGCACAGCTCTTCCATGACCGCAAGCAGTACCTTTGGCTCAACATCAATCCGGTCCTCCGGGTTTAGGGTCCAAGAAAGGTATCCCTGTTGGGTTTTGGGTTCGGGTTTAGGGGTTGCGAGTTTTTTGGGGAGCTTTTGGTGTTGAGGGGTCGAGAGCAAGAGTAGCTCAAGAGTTCCGAAGGCTTGAGAAGGTCTGCGTCAACCGTTTGTTTCGAGCTCTGTACCGGTTGATGGTTACGTGCAATCTACCAGAGCTTGTAGCATGTCCACGCAAGCCTGCCGGTTGATGAGATGTTCTTCGCCCTGTGCCGTAGACTCGACGCGTCGAGCCTTATATAGCTGACATAGAAAGTTCGTCGTTCTACATTGTGGGATCGAGGTATGAGGAGCGCCGCCGCATGTCGCCCGACGAGCGTGCAAAGGCACCCGTTGTGGCGCCTCGGTGAAAGCAGGGAACGGCTGCCTTGCTGTTCTGGTGCATGGTGTGTGTGCATGAAAAGCTTAGCTCAGGAATGTTGAGGGC